TGGAACAGTGCTTGCAGCAATGCATTCTGGGCTTAAACTGGAACCACAGACTGGGGGAGGGTGAGAACCTCCGTTATAGTTTTACAGGATCTGAGACTGAAGAACCGCAAATTACAATGTATAAGGACTGAACCCGGGATACAATGTATAAGGACTGAGCCCGGGATACAATATACGAGGACTGAACCCCGGGATACAATATACGAGGACTGAACCCCGGGATACAATGTATGAGGACTGAGCCCGGGATACAATGTATGAGGACTGAACCCGGGATACAATGTATGAGGACTGAACCCCGGGCTGACTCCATCGGTGGCTGCGTGCACATAACGACACAGATCTCCACAGACAATGGCGGCTACACACAATCATTGTAGAAGTGAATGACCTCCATTGATCCCGTAAGAGGTTCTCCTCAGAGTATTGCGGTCCTTAGAAATGCGGAGTCAGTAACCATAGCAACCATTTCACCTTTCATCATTGTGGAGCCCCCTGAATAATGAGCTCTGATTGGTTGGTAATTGGGTTTTTTTCACCTTGAATGCCCCCCCACCCCTCCCCCCCGCCCCCATGGCATAACATCACACACAGGACTGAGCTCACCTGGGGACACTGGCGAGATACGTGACGAGCCTGCGCAGGTCCTCCTGTCGTATCCTGTCATGGTTGCTGCGGGCCGGGAAGGTGAGGATGGGTCCTCCTCTCTTGTCTCGTCCACCTGTGCAGAGAGAAGGTGTTGGATCAATGATAAATAATCAGCCCGGCTACACAGAACTTCCCCCAAGCAACCGCTGAGAGAAAACCATTTAACCACACTGCCTTGTGTTGTTTTCCAGGAGTCTGAGCAGACTGATCTGGACGGTCTATGAACTCTGCAGAGTGTCGCATCAATGAAAATACAGAATGTGTCACACGGGGACATCGGTTCGTCCGTTCAGCCAATCCCATTGGATGTTGCTGGAGTAAGCCTCCACTTTTCTTCCAAGTGTATGGCAAGCGAAAAACCTTTTTGTCCATTTTTGGATGGAGTAAGGAAGGATTAGAACTCCTGTTAGCAACCCTTCTGAGGCTCCATTGAGGAGACCCCCACTTCCTGTCCTGCTAACAACAATGTCACCAGACAGGAAGTGAAGGGAAAACCTGCAACATGGACACGGACAAAAATACAAACCTGACATTGCTCCCCCCCCCCCGCCCCCCCCCTTTACAAAGGGAAAAATTTTTATTTTTTTTTTGTCCATTTTTGGATGGAGTAAGGAAGGATTAGAACTCCTGTTAGCAACCCTTCTGAGGCTCCATTGAGGAGACCCCCACTTCCTGTCCTGCTAACAACAATGTCACCAGACAGGAAGTGAAGGGAAAACCTGCAACATGGACACGGACAAAAATACAAACCTGACATTGCTCCCCCCCCCCCTCCCGCCCCTATACTAAAGGGAAACATTTGTATTTCTGTGTTGCTGTTGGAGATTTCCTCTCACTTCCTGTCTGGTAAAACTCGTCAGCACAGAAAGGAAGTGAGGGGGAAAGCCCCGGATAGCAGTAGAGGCCTGACAGGGGTTCCAATCCTTCCTCACTCCATCAAAGCTCAGAGATGACGCTTTGGCTGGACGCACACTTTATATAAAGACAATAAAGTCCTCATTTCCTGTTTGTTGTATTTGTATCGGTTTGTTTTCGACATCTTCCGGTATTTTGTAGATTATTTATTGTTACTTTATTACATTTGTATTGCTGTGAAGGGAAGGCCGCGTTTTATAGGGCAGAGCCGAGTCCTCCGACCGATATATTAGAATCTTCCTGGAAATGTTCTACAATCGCTGGCAACAATGTATCCGCTTATTCCAGGCATCGGATTCTATAATATTCTACACTATGCCGGATGAAGGGACCCCGAGTGGCCCCGAAACGCTGCCACTTTATGACACGCACAACAGTAAGGACGATTTTGGACATTTGACCTCAGTGTGCTGGTGACCGATTGTATCTACTCCGCTTATTCTAGGCAGCACAGACAGTCCTCGCTGCGAGTGTCAGGCTGCATCCACACCTGATAAAGCCTGATGAAGGGACTCTGCGTGGCCCCGAAAACGCTCGTCTTCATTGGACATGGTTCTTAAAAGGAGAACTATGGGGGTCAGGGCTTTTCCCCAGAGTTCTCCTAAGGGTGACGGGAGGACGCAAACTAGCGTCCTCCCGTCACCCTAGGCTCAGTATATAGGGAGCTGTAGCTCGCGGTATACTGAGACGCCGCAGCTGAAGCGGATCCCGACAATTATGCTGGGATCCGCCCAGCTGCGTGAGTGACAGCTGGCTCCGCCTATCTAGAGGCAGAGCCAGCTGTACCCGCCCCCT